CTCCACGTTTCCCTGGTCTGGGGAAAGTCTGGCCCAGGCTTGTTTGGGCCAATCGCAGCACAAGATTGAGAAGCCTAGGGCCAGGAGCGAGCCAGATCAGAGGTCCTGGGGTGAAGTGAAGGGGGCCACTGGAGCGACTTTAACCGTTACGATCCTCCTCTGGGATGGAATGGCGGTGGAGAGGGTTGCCCAGTTTATGCCCTCCCAAAAGATGGTGGCTTAAGATGACAGGCTATTGAAGAATGTTTGTGATGTCAATGGAAGTTTTATGCTTTTACAACCTGAGGTCCTTTTATGTAGATGGGACCAGCGCCTGGCTTCCTCCATTATCAGGCAAAATGCTTGCACTCTAAGCTACAGAGACTCCCTTGGCAAGCTCCCACCCTCTGCAAGACAGCTGCTCCATGGAAACCCAGGTGTGATCATCCAAACACAAAGATTCAGAAGCCAAAGTACAGTGGCACCGGTGGGGAGGGAGGAGAGAACTTACCTGCCTGACTTCCGTGGGGTTGCTTGGGTGTAAATGAGCTGGATTTTGCCCCAAATATGTAACCTTCCTTATGGATATTCTGGAAGATTTACCTGGCCTTGCTAGGAATCTTAACTCAGACAATTTTTGTTTTTTGGAAAATGAAAATGTCTATGCTGCTGTGACGGGCCGGCCTCGTCACTAGCGCCGGCAGCTCGCACCACGAGCGGAAAGCTGGAGGAGCGCCGGCTGTATTGCCGCGCATGCGCAGCAAGCCGGTGTCTGCTTTTAAATGTGGCGCCGGCACACCTGGGGGGGAACCCGACCCGTGGGCGGAAGACAGCGGCCGCCGGCGGAAGACCTGGGCAGGAGACGCCGAGGAGGGGGCGCGGAGGTCTCAGGGGTGGCCGACGAACCCCGCTGGGGTGTCCGCGGCAGACGGACCCGGGAGCATCCTGACGACCTTCCGACGCTCGGAGGAGCGAACTGAGGATGGCTGGGTAGAACTCGCACCTGAGCTGGCCCCACCCCAACCGCCGAGGAGCCAACAAGTGAGGTGGGACCCCAGAGTGGGTCCCCCGGATCAGAGGGAGCTGGACTGGGCGGACCGCGGGGACCGGGCAGGTGGAAGGCCCCAGGGTCTAAGTAGGAGGGTTCCAGCCATAACGGGGGTGACCCTGGCATAAGGGAACCTTACTACGCCCTATTGGCCGAGAGTAAAGGGGAAAGGGGTAATGGGGAGCCCCTCCGTGGCATGAACGCGGGCAAGCCCTACCCCACAAACCGTTCGGGACTAGGGAGGGGGTGGGTGTCCTCCACCCCCCTCCCTTTACAGCTGCATTTAAATCATTGCTCTGGGGTGGGGCTGAGGGGTTCAGGATGCAGGTTGCCCTTGGGAGTGAGGACTACCCCAGCCCCTCTCTCAACACAGTAACTTGTGGTCAGGTGAGAAGTGCCTTTCCATGGCCACTGTGGGTGTGTCTAGACTACAGAGTTTTGTTGACAAAAGTGGACTTTTGTCGACAAAACTATACCTACATCTACACTACCGCTGAGTTCTGTCGACATAACGTCGACAGAACTCAGCAGTTTTGTCGACACTGGTAAACCTCATTTTACGAGGCATAACACCTTCTGTCGACAGAGTTTCTGTCAACAGAAGGTGTTATTGCATGTAAACTGTCCTTTGCGTCTACACTACCATGTCGACAAAGCAACTTGCTTTGTTGACAGAACTGAATGTAGTGTAGACGCTCTTTGTCGACAGAAGTTTTGTCGACAGTATCTGTCAACAAAACTTCTGTCGACAAAAGCCTGTAGTCTAGACGTACCCTGTGTGTGTGCATATCCTCCAAATGGGGCAGGTGCAAGTTCATCTGCCCTCTTCACTCCCCAGCCAGAGCGAGGGAAGCAGCACACTCTGCATTTCCCCTTGCTCCCTGACAAAGGGGAATAGCCAGCAGTGTTCCCACATGAATTAAGGGAGGGATCTTTAGCCTCCCATACTCTCCCTAAAGAGTGTTTTGAGGGGTGGGAGGCTCGGGGTGGCAGTCCTGGACGAGAGGGCTGCGTGCACCCCCAGCCAGCCCCTTTCACCTGTCTGGTGATTGTCTCTTTTCTGTTTGGTTTTATGAGATGCAATCCCATTCCAGGCACATTCCATTTTCCTGGCACAACCAAACACTTACCTTGCTTTAAGGTAGGATAAGAGGAAGCTGCCTACCGAACGTGGTGGTTCTAGCGCTTATTGTTAAGGAGGTGTTCTTGAACAAACAGACAGACAAACTCTCTCAAATACAAAATAGATGTAAGAGTCTCTTTTGCCTCTTGTTTTCAACAGGTGTCTTAAGACCAAGTCCTGCTTTCATTTACACTGGTGTGTGAACTGGAGTCACCCCACTGAAACCAGTCATCCCTGAAAGTAGAATTTGGCCCCCAGGTTATAAAGCAGCAGTGGGTGTGGTTGTGTATTGCTGACAGGTCTCTAGAGCAAGAGACTTATCTTGGTTAAACTTGAGCCTGCATGGGAAACTGAGCAAGTGGAATAAATCCAGAAGTCATGCTCTTCTGACAATCTGGCCCAAAGAGTCTGTCCCATTACTCAAGATTCTGCTTCCACAGTCTGGAAAGCACCTTGTTCCTTGTGGGTGGTCGATGGCTGACACAAGGACTAGCTGTGATGGGCCCTACAGGAAGCAATAGTCCCCCCTCCACACTGAAGAAAGGGTCCTGGCAATATTAAGGGGTACCGTGAAGCCAAACCGTAGAACTTAGCAGGACTGTAGATTTTTAACAGATCCCATGGTAGAAGGTTCCCTGTCCCTCAGGGAGGATCAGATCTGCTTTCAGGCTGGCTACTGTGGTAGGCCAGTTTGGTTTGGTTCTGATTATGGTGTTATGGGACAGTGGTTTTCAAGCTATGTACCAGGTTGTGGAATGTCGGGCACTGGGCCTCATTGCTTTAGGGGGATCAGGTGACCAGTGGGGGAGCTAAGGCAGCTGCCTTCCTATCCTGGCACCACAGACTGTGCTGTGCCCTAGAAGCAGCTGGCAGCAGGACCGGCTCCTGGTTGGTGGAGGGGAGCACACAGGCCTCTATATACTGCCCTTCCTCTGAGCACTAGCTCCCATTGGCTAGGAACCTGCTGCTGCATATCCTCCAAATGGGGCAGGTGCAAGTTCATCTGCCCTCTTCACTCCCCAGCCAGAGCGAGGGAAGCAGCACACTCTGCATTTCCCCTTGCTCCCTGACAAAGGGGAATAGCCAGCAGTGTTCCCACATGAATTAAGGGAGGGATCTTTAGCCTCCCATACTCTCCCTAAAGAGTGTTTTGAGGGGTGGGAGGCTCGGGGTGGCAGTCCTGGACGAGAGGGCTGCGTGCACCCCCAGCCAGCCCCTTTCACCTGTCTGGTGATTGTCTCTTTTCTGTTTGGTTTTATGAGATGCAATCCCATTCCAGGCACATTCCATTTTCCTGGCACAACCAAACACTTACCTTGCTTTAAGGTAGGATAAGAGGAAGCTGCCTACCGAACGTGGTGGTTCTAGCGCTTATTGTTAAGGAGGTGTTCTTGAACAAACAGACAGACAAACTCTCTCAAATACAAAATAGATGTAAGAGTCTCTTTTGCCTCTTGTTTTCAACAGGTGTCTTAAGACCAAGTCCTGCTTTCATTTACACTGGTGTGTGAACTGGAGTCACCCCACTGAAACCAGTCATCCCTGAAAGTAGAATTTGGCCCCCAGGTTATAAAGCAGCAGTGGGTGTGGTTGTGTATTGCTGACAGGTCTCTAGAGCAAGAGACTTATCTTGGTTAAACTTGAGCCTGCATGGGAAACTGAGCAAGTGGAATAAATCCAGAAGTCATGCTCTTCTGACAATCTGGCCCAAAGAGTCTGTCCCATTACTCAAGATTCTGCTTCCACAGTCTGGAAAGCACCTTGTTCCTTGTGGGTGGTCGATGGCTGACACAAGGACTAGCTGTGATGGGCCCTACAGGAAGCAATAGTCCCCCCTCCACACTGAAGAAAGGGTCCTGGCAATATTAAGGGGTACCGTGAAGCCAAACCGTAGAACTTAGCAGGACTGTAGATTTTTAACAGATCCCATGGTAGAAGGTTCCCTGTCCCTCAGGGAGGATCAGATCTGCTTTCAGGCTGGCTACTGTGGTAGGCCAGTTTGGTTTGGTTCTGATTATGGTGTTATGGGACAGTGGTTTTCAAGCTATGTACCAGGTTGTGGAATGTCGGGCACTGGGCCTCATTGCTTTAGGGGGATCAGGTGACCAGTGGGGGAGCTAAGGCAGCTGCCTTCCTATCCTGGCACCACAGACTGTGCTGTGCCCTAGAAGCAGCTGGCAGCAGGACCGGCTCCTGGTTGGTGGAGGGGAGCACACAGGCCTCTATATACTGCCCTTCCTCTGAGCACTAGCTCCCATTGGCTAGGAACCTGCTGCTGGTTGCTTCCGGGGGGCAGCATGGTCTGTGGTGCCAGGAGAGGCAGGAAGCTGACTTAGCACCCCCGTTACACCGCTGACTGGGAGCTGCTCAAGGTAAGCCCTTCCTGTCCCAGTCCTGACCCCCTCCCCCACACCAAAACTGAAGCTCCTTCCTACACCGCAAAGCTCTCATCCTCGGCCTCACCCCAGAGCTCCCACTCTAGTCAAATTATTTTGGGTCACGGGCATCAACAATGTTTTCTTCAACTGGGTCGTGAAGAAGAAGTTGGAAAACCACAGGTATAGCAGGAACGTAGAATAATCGAAGGAGCAGAAAGAACCAGCAGGGGCAAGGGATCATGATGGTTTTATTGGAGGTTTAAAAGTAGCTGCTGTGCCAGTGAGGACCAGCCCCTGCCACGGGACATGCTTATTAATAGCCAACACCCACGCCTGGTGATGAGCCAAGAAATAAAGGTGACAATCGCATAAGCGCTCCTGGAGGTCATAGCTTTATTGCAGAGAAATGTGCTGTCAATTTGGCTTAGCATGACAGTGATCAGAAAGCCACTGGGGGGGGGGGGGCCATTAATCTAAATAGGAAACAATGAGTCGTCTTCTAACTCATGGCCCAGGCCTTGTTTTATTGACACAAGTGTGACTCCCGCTGAAGAGATTTGTGTACCAAGGGCTCTGTGAATTTGGGAAACGGCACGGTGAGGGAGAGTTTACCCTCCTCTGCCCCACCACTAGGTCAGATCAGCAAATAAAACTAAGCCCAATACAGATCCCAAAGCAAAGGGCAATTTTACAGTAGTTGCAGGCAGCAGCACATGTGCTGACGTCCTTTGCCAATTAATAGGTTTAATCCTTCCTTGTGGTCTTTATGTTTAGGAAGATGCTGGGTATGGCCCAAGTCCTTGGTTTGCCATACTGACTTCATTGGAATTTGGGACTATTCCTGGATGATGGGTGAACGTAGGGCTTAGGGGAGAAAAGCCCCTAGCCCCCCCCCTTCTGCTTGAGTCCCTGCCCCCTACAGAAGCCAAACTCCCCTCCCTCCCCCATCATAGAGGCAAGCCTCCAGCCTTCCACAGGAGCATCCCCTGGGAAGGCACACTGCTCCAGCCTCCCTAGCCTCAGTGGGGCGGAAGTCTGGGAGCCATGCTGAAGCTGAGGGGCAGAGTGTGGGCGGGGCCACACCTCCCCGTTTGGGAAGGCATGGGACCCAGGGGACTATTTGCGCACATGAACTTGAGCACGTGCCTAAAAGTCTGCAGGAGGGAGACCTCACTTTGGACTCACTAAACCACAGTGAGTCACATTCCTAGCCTACCTCTGGCAATTGCCTCTAGGTTTTGACGAAACAATCTGCATAATTTTGAAGCAAAACCTGAAGTTGTCCCTGGAAACGTTCTCACTATATTGGCAAGATTTTGCGCAAATACTTTTAACGCAAGAGTTTTTGCTCAAAAGAGCATCTACACTGGCATGTGCCTTTGCGCAAGAGATGTGCTTTTGCACAAAAGCATCTGTGCCTGTGTAGACGCTCTCTTGCGCAAGAAAGATCCGATGGCTATTTTAGCCATTGGGCTTTTTTGCGCAAGAAATTAATGTTGCCTGTCTACACTGGCCTCTTCTGCAAGAACAGTTGCGCAAGAGGGTTTATCCCTGAGCGGGAGCGTCAGAGTATTTGCACAAGAAGCACTGATTTTATACATTAGAACGTCAGTGTTCTTGCGTAAGTACTCGTGGCAGGTGTAGACAGATACGACTGCTTTTGCGCAAAATCTTGCCAATGTAGACACAGCCCGGGAGTAATGGCGTTGATATCACTGCAGTGTACTCACGAGAAGAATCCAGTCTTCAATTAAAAACAATAAAGAATAAAATACCCCATTAAAGTGTTACCGGTTTGTGCAAATAAGCATTCCTGACGTAGGAAAGATACAATTATGCTCTGCCACCAGTAGGCAATGTAATGATCTTTCCCACTATGCTGGTTTTTATGTTTTCTAGCATCTCTGGGCAGATTGAGAGCTGCATGAGCAGGCAGTGAAGGAAGAGGCTATTAATTTTACCTGGGGAGTGAACGAGCCTCAACCTGTCTCAGTGGGAAGCTCTGTGCTGTCCTTCGTTTTGTGCCGCTATTAGTTTTGTGCCTCGGCAGTATCATTAGTTCTGGGATTTAAATGAGCCTCAAAGCAAACCTCTGGCAATTGCCTCTAGGTTTTGACGAAACAATCTGCATAATTTTGAAGCAAAACCTGAAGTTGTCCCTGGAAACGTTCTCACTAGTTAACTGGGGTGAAGTTCCTTTGTTGGGAGAGCCAGAGGAAATTCACCTCGACTTGGACATTTCAAAGGAAGCTTAAAGGTGGCTAGACCACTTCCCACGAGTTATCCTGATTGCCCATCAGAAACATTGGAATGAGAGGGCAGAAGTATTTTTGGAGCCCCCTGGCTAAAGCGAGAGCTGGGAGTAGTGCCAGTGGTCCAGTGGCTAATGTCCTGGCCTTTGAAATTAGGGACTATGCTTTGAACTCTCATCTGGAGTGAGAAGATACTTGATTTAAATCCATATCCGCTCTGAAGGAGCTGCTGTAGCTTAACCCCAAGTTAATGGGCCCAGTGCAGGCATTACTGAGAGAAGCGGTATGGTCTGTGTAACGAAGGTCAGACATAAATGATCCTGTTGGTCTCGTCTGGCGTTAAAATCGGTTTACTGTACTTGTGAAGGCAGGAGGGGATCACCGAGAGATGTTTGTGAAATCTGCCGGCCACCGTTGTTTGCTAGCAGGCCTGTCTCTCACAGCACAAAGAACGTGGGACTCTTCCCCAGAAAAGTGGCTTGCGATTACCCACAGTTTCCAGACTGGTGACACTTGCTTCGCCAGCCTATTACAGAATGTCGTCTTGTACATCTCCCGTGTCTGTATCCTGGCCCGGGCTAAGATTTGCATCTTTTGCTGGGAGCTGAACTCTCTTAGGAATGAAGGACACACCTGGCTCGTTGTGCAGACTGTTTTGCTCATCTCCCTCACTGTTATCTTCATCGCTGTCTGTCTCTTCAACCTGGTCTTCAATCACCACAACATCATCCTTGGTGTCTGGATCGATATCCTCCTTAAACCACACGGCTTTGTACCCCTCGTCCGCTGTCCTTCTGTCCTTGGTGAGGATCGATTTCACTTCTTTATCGCTGTCCGTGTCCTTGCCCTCTTTGTCCCCCTCACTCTCTTTGATGGCGGCAGAAGTGGTTGCGATGCTGCTTTCCACTGCTGGCTCCAGAGGAGGGAAGCCGTCTGGCTGCTGATGCATGACAGGGGTGGCTGCCTCTGAAGTGTCACTTCTTAGTGACTCGCTGTCTTTCATGCTCCCATTGAGATTTTCATCCCTTAGGTAGCCGTTGTTACTTACACCCCGAAAGGAATCCTTGGGGAATGGCTAGAGCAGAAAAGTCTCATGGTTACAGGGGGGCAGAATGAAATGGGGGAGGGGGACAAAAAGGGAGCTAAATGATTGGACACAGCTCTGCTGACATCAGTGGAATTGCACCTCTGATGTCAGCTGGGGATCGGGCTGTCCAGAAGGACATGATACCCTGTGGTTACTTAGAACAGTAATTCCCTTCCTCTCTTTCTGCCACCTGAAAACTTGAACCAAACACTCTGTGGGGAAGGGACAGGGTCAGAGTGGCTTGCTTTGTTTAAGGATGGCTGGGCAGCATGCAAGGCAGTCAAGTGAACTACCAACGGCAGCCTCACTCCCATGATGACTCCTCCCTTCCATCAGAGCTTGAGGGAGAATGATTTTTTTTTTAAGTTCCTGGTAGCCTGGTGAATTATTAGGACATTGTTGCCCATTTATGTCCAGTAGCACCAGTATTCTGTTTTTAGGCTTTGTTAGCATTTGTGGGGTCCCATTTGTTCCTGTGGAAGCCATGACTTGGGTCAGCATGTCTCATCTCAGCTGTTCTCAGCAGTCACCTGAATTGCAGGCTCTTGATGGGGGTCACATGACCACCCAAGGAGTCTCCAGGACACCCATAAGGAGTGCGTCTAATACTTTGCACGGCCAGGGCTCTCGCTTTACAAACGTTAGAGAATTTAGCCCCCTGACGCTCCTGTAACAAGCATTAGCACCATTTTGCAGATGGAAGCCCAAAGAAGTTAAAGCCAAACTTGTCAAAAGAGGCCACTGACTTTTTTAAGAGCCTCCATTTCTGGGTACCGTGCTTCTAGATACGGGGAGCCTAACTTCCCAAGTTCTGAACACCTCACGTTCCCAATGGCTTCTCACCCCCATCTCTTTGAATCCATCTATTATCTTGGCCTCTTTGATCTGGGGCAGGGAACCTTTTTTGGGTCAGGTGCTGCTGACCCACAGAAAAGTCAGTCGGGGGCCATACACAAGTGAGAAGCAAAAAGGAAAGAGTTGCTCCCCACGTTCCCCTTGTACACCAGAGCTTAAGGGTGCCCAGGCTAGTAGATTTTGTGTGCTCTAGCCCCGCGGTGGGGTGGCGGGACAGCTGGAGCTCTAGCGCAGGCTCCCCAGTGTTGAGTGGGGACAGCCCTGAGCCTCAGGGGCCAGATCCAGGCAAGCCGGGGGCTGCACCCGGTCCCCAGGCCGTAGGTTCCCCACCCCTGTCTTAGATGATGAACATTCTGAGGCAGAGATCCTCCCTCCGTTATATCTATACAGTGCATAGCACTGGGCTGGAGCCTGCACGTGCTATGGCAGTATAAATCCGAATGACAGTAACAGTGTCTGAAGTTTGGCTCCCCAAAAATGAAGTCCTGCAAACTCGGTGCTACTCTTAAATTCTGGCCCATGCAATTTGTCGCTCTCTCACAACGGGACATAGAACTTGACTATCCCAGTGCCCTGGTTCTTTCTCTAACCCCAAAATGTATAGGCACTGACTCTGTGAGTGCTCTGGGGCTGCAGCACCCCCTGAAAAAATAGGGGATGCTCAGTACCCACCAGCCACCGCTAATGGAGAGAAGCAGCGCTGATCAGCTGATGGGGAGAAAGACAAAGGGTGGAGATGGGGTGGTGGGATGGTTGGGGACCTTAAGGAGGGTGTGGGAAAGGGCAGAATGGCAAGTGAAGCACTCCCAGGGAAAAGTAAAAGTCCGCACTTATGACAGGATATCATTTCCAAGCTCTAAGGCAACCCTGAAATGAACTAGGTATAAATTAACCACTAACCTTGTTTCTTCCAACCATGCTCTTAATTGTGGTTCCATAATTCTTGTAGATAATAATTCCAAGCAGCAGTAAGCACATTGCCAGCAATACAGCCAATGGGACACCTAAAGCGGCCATGTGCCCTGAAGTATACAAATATTCTGTACGTACGTCTACGAGGGAAACAAACAAATATTACATTTCTCAGAATCATTCTTACCTGGCCTAATGCAAGACTGGCTTGTAGGAGAGCAACCCACTTTTCTAAGAGCAAGGGAAATGCTCTCATGCTCAGTGCAAGCGGTGACATGGACCATTTAATCTGACAAGGTGTACTTCAGTGCAGTGCTCCAGGCATCGGCTTCTGGAAGTCACCCCTCAGGGGACTCCAGACCTTTCAATCAATAAAGAGAGAATGGGTCTTACAAAGGGGAATTTCCCATTTACACAAATGTGGATTTGTCCTGGGAAAAAATTGCCTGACTGGGACATCAGTGTTGTGTTTTTTGCTTATCACATTCAGAGTGATATTTTGCTTATCACATTTAAACCCCAATGTGGCCAGTCCTTAATCTCAGCTCCTCATCATGGGCCCTGCATCGGGTGGGGGGCTGAGATGCCCAATGCTATGGGGATCAATACCTAGGGCTTGGCAAATAGGTCTGAGGCATGTTCTGTACAGTGCCAGGCAACGCTTTGCACCCGTGGTGGGCAGGCAGATTGTGTTGGAGTTTATTGCTTTAAGTTTCAAATGATTAAAAGAGCAAGTAGGATCCGTTTCCATCCCAATACCTACTTATCCCTGCCTTGACTGTGTATGGCTCTGTCTACACTGCAGCGGATACCAGAGGGATCCCAAAATAGATATTCTGTGTCTTTTGAGCACGCCTGTTATTTCGAAATATAACGGGCCCGCTATTCCGACATCCCTGTAAATCTCATTCCACAAGGAGTAAGGGATGATTCAGAATAGCGAAATAAGTGCTGTGTCGATAGCGCCAAATTTCGAGATAAGCTATTTCAAAATTAACTCAAAATAAACTGTGCAATTTGTGTGGCTCAAATTGCGTAGCTAATTTCGAGCTCTGGGTGCCGTGTAGACACACCCTGACTGAATGAGCAAACAAACAGCATGAATTGGCCAGCGGGTATTTCCCAGAGCAGACCTGTATCTTGTAACAATTTTTGATTCACAAATGTCCATCGGCAGAAAAAAACACTTTTTGGTTTTCTTGGGGAAAATATGAGGCATCCTTTGTGCGGTGTTCTAGCTCAGAGATTTAGGGCCCAATAAAAATGAACTAAAAACTTGACCAGAATAGCATTCTGATCCCTGTTGCATGGCTGTGATTTGCACTGATGTCCCACGGATCTGAGAAGCACCTTTTACCCTCCTATCTATTAACAGGCAGACATATTGTGTCATAATACATCTGTCACTCTGATAAACACCACGCTGCTGGTCATCATGCTTGTTGCTATGCTGCCAAAAGGCATAGAGGAAAGTGACTTGAGAATTGCATTTAGACTATTTTAAAGTGTGTTTAATGCTTCATAGATGAATGTGTCTTTACGCTGATTTTGCAAATTGCCAGCTTTTCCTGGCTGTACAGGTAGGTCACGCTTTCATCACTTAGCAGGTAAAAGACGCCCTTACCAGGATCAACATCAAAACCGAGATACGGTATGAGAGACAGCCCTGATATTCAGGGCTTTGTTTTATATCTGTGCCTATTATACCCCACTCCATCTCTGATTGTTCACACATGCTAGCTGGTCATCCTGAATATTATACACTTCCAGAGGATTTGTCTATTTAGCTTCCCTCTAAGGATATTTGTGTCTTACACCATCCTCATTTTGAATTGGAACCCAACTTCTGTAAAGTTTCATGATAATTAAGTGGGGTTTGTGTTTGCCTTTATTCTAGACTTTGAATGGAATTTGAATGTTACCTGGGCTGTTGACAGCTCCAACAGTTTATTATTAACATGGTAGCGAAGGACTGGCACTTCCATGACGTTTTACTACTTAATTGTGTTTGATAACATGATTAGGGATGGGAAATACAGTCTGTGAAATTGATGCAAGCGTCCCCTCTTAACTCTTTCTGCCTTCAGTGGGTATTAAGTTATTCCCTTTTGTACATGTGTCCTAGAAATTAAAGTTCCCATTCAGCATCAATTTTCATAAGTATTCCATGAGTATTCTTAAAATGTAATTGTTCCATTGACTTTTTCAGTGGCCTTTGGACCAGACACTTAAAGTATACTCTGGCTCTTAGCATGCAAATCCCTTGACACCAAAGAACAGCCTGGGATAGGAATCAGAGCAATTAGACACAGCAAATTCCTCTTTGCCTATCCCTCCTTACCTTTGAATGTGCTAGTCAGGCCCTCTGTAATATACTGCGTATATAGTAAAATGGTGCAATAGTTTGGCCACGTTAAGAACCCCCTGCCAGCCTATTTATAATAGAGTGGTGAAACCATTTCATTGCCAGTGTTGTGTTTGATAAATAGATGGCAAGGGCCAAATTTTCAAAAATTGCATCTATGGTTGGGTACATTCGTTTCTGGTTTTTCAATTTGACAATGTCTAGGCCAAAATTTTCAAATCTGGGTATCTAATCCACTCTTAATAACTGTGTCTGTGTCTGTGTGTTTTCCCTCCTCAGCGAGGCTGCAACTCCCTCTGAAGTCACTGGGAGCAGAAGGTGCTCTGCATTTATGAAAATAAGGCCCCATCAAGCTAACTGTGGGCATTCAAAAATAGAGGTACCCATTCGAGCCTGGATCTTGGAGAAAGAAGCACAGGTTGCAGGAGGGAAGAATTTAAAATACCCACTCTTGGAGGCACCAAGAACCCAGTTTGTGTGCACATGGCTAGAATGCCATTGGCAGAGGTGCTGCAGCTAGTTCTCTTACTAAAGAGCCAGCTTAGTTTTAAACACAAGAACTCCTCTCACATTGTTACCCAGAACATAGTACATGATATGAGATGCAGTCAGTCTAGTGAGACCCACAGCAAAGAAGGCAAACAAAGCAGCTCCTAGAAACAGAACAGCAGGGTAGCATGGGAGGACTCCTCCAACTGGGAATGCTAGATTTTCACATACAAATCTTTGCATGAGCAGGGAAGCAGTGAAAGCAAGAACTGAGTTCTATGAAGAGCTGACCAGGGAAGATAACTATGGGGAAAAACAGATAAAACTTTAAAAAAACCCAAAACTACCTCTTTGCAGCTGAAGAGAGAATACATACATTACAGAGCTGAGAACTCCGGCATCCACATGTAACTTTGGAGTCATTAGGGACTCCTTAATTTAGAGACAAGGTCATTTATGAGAAACCTGATTCCAATTTACAGGAGAGATTGTGGAGGGAAACAGACTAACTCTAAAGAAATGCTTTCAAATAGCAAAAGCAACTGAACTGTCCAGGGAAAAGATCAAAACAGTGATAGCCATTGGTGCAGACAAAATAAAGACACCCAGAAGCAGGACAGAGACAGACTGAATGAAAACATAGACCTCCTTGTCCAGTGTATGCACCATGAAATGCAACATGCAAAGAAAAAAGAAATTGCCCAGCCAATGGGAAATGTTTCAAGGATTGTGAGGAAATAGATCCACTCTGTCCCAGAGCCACAGCGACCTTAGAAAGCAAGAATCAGCAGCCTATGCAGTGATTGAAGGTGGAAGAGGCTTCCAAAGAAAAAGAGTATATCTGCAGTGTGACGTCAGCCAATCCAAGGACTCTGTGTGTATGTGCATTGCAGATGAAGGCTGCCAGTTATTCAACTGCCATATTTGCGACTATGCAATTAGCTCAACGACCAATTTGATTCCAGCTGGATTGTGAGGCCAGCTGGAGTGTAATCCCCTCAACTGTGAAACAGCAACATCAGATTGGAAAAATGTGACCCCGTCCTGGTGATGTCACACAGTGAAACAGTTCTCAGAAAAGTGGGCAAATGTTGGCTATTGATAAGAAAACTTCTCTGGTGTCATGGGTATCATGTGGAGTCTTCAGTATCATGTGGAGTCTTCAGTACTTGATGCACAGTAGCACCAGCCGCTGCTAGGTCGCGGGGCAGGTCAAGGCCTGAATTTGATTGCAATACAAATATCGTCCATGTGAAAGAGGAGGAAGAACAGTCACCAGAGGCCTTGCCGAGCATTTTAACAGAACGCAAGGATGTTAGGCACCTAAAGGACAGTCTGAAGTTAGAAAATCATCTGCATGTGCTGCCTGTGAGATCTCTGCTGAGTTTTAGCTCTGATGAAGCCACTGACAAAGCAACTGGCCTCCAAAGAAGTAAGTCTGCAAAGAGACGTCATTACACTCGTTAAAACTAGGACACAGTGGTCAGCAGGCTAGTAGCGGTGAGAGAATCCTTGGATAAGCTGTGGATTTTCAGTGCTCCAAAACCACTGAATAGAATAGAGCATAAAAAAGAAGTCCCTGTCCAGTGGAGGACATGCTACCTGACTTATCCAGGGCAAAAAGTCTTCAGTTTGTGAGGTTTAGGATGGGTTCTGGTACACTGAGCAAGTTGAGCCATTCAGCTATTTGACAGTGCTGGCATGAAAGTAGGATCTGCTAGAATCTATCCTATAATCATTGTGGCACCATTTATAAAAAATCTCTAGTCGTTCTTTACTCCAAGATGCTGAAAACCAAAAAATGAGAAACTGAAACTTTACAGAAAACTGAAAATCTTAAAGTGCAAACTTTCAATAAACTTCTTGTTGATTTTTTTTTCAGAAACCAAAAATGGTTCTATTTCCAAAACCAGCCGAATTGAATTTTTCACAAAAACATTTACAACGTTTCAAACAAAAAATTATTAAATATTAAAAATACAGACTACATTACTAGTAAGGAGCAATATAGATAATATAATATAAAATTTTAAAAATTCAAAATGGAAAGTTTCAAAACAAAAATATCAAAATATTGTATTCCAAAAATGTCAAAATGGGATGTTTGGACAATGTCAGAACTGTTTTTCTCTCTCTCCTCTCTTCCCCCCTTCTGACATGAAATTCTAGCAAAATCAAAGTGTTTTTATTTCTACAGAACTGAATGTTCTGACAGAATATGGTTTCATCCAAGTTTCTCAGAACAGCTCTGGCCAGTAGCAATGAAGCGCTACCCGCTTGAGTATTAGTAGAGTTGTGAATTGGAGCAGGGTCTCTGAGCCACAGTGCCCTTCATGGCTTCACGTGGGGTGGAACACTTTACACCCAATGTTCTTCAAAGGGCCCTTCCTAAAGTCACGATCTGTCTAGCATGTTTTGTCTGAAAGACTTCTAAAGCATTTTACAACTACGTAGAACAGGGGTCCATTTCTCCAGCACTGAAATGAAGCGATCTCACTAATGTGGAAGTTTACCAGCATGGGGCAATCCTGTGCAACATTTGAGACCAGGAAGTGAAGAATAATGCTGTAGCTGGTAAAAGCTGCACTGGGATTTTAGTTAGGCACTAAAAATTAATTATCCAGATTGAGCTTTCCCCAGGACATGCTGAGTCCTGCTGAGTCACCAATTCTGCAGAAGTTCTTAGGGGTTTCCTTGGAAGCCTCTTCCATTCATAAGGACAAATCAGAAACAGTGAGAACAAAATTGAATTTGCTGAGTGCAGATAGGAGAGGGGCGAGGAAGCCTTGATTCTGAGTAGGGCACACATCTACCTGTCTGAGTGTTTGTGGAGGATATTTGAGAAGACACAGGGTCTGATGGCCTCGGAGATCTGCTTGCTACTGGAGTTGACGTAAGAAGAGGGCTGGGCCCAACAGACGGGGAAGATGGCAGAGTAGTGGATTGAACCGTTTCACCTGGTGCTGGGTTTGTTCCTGTTATGGGGGACTTGGTGGTTCCAGATTCTGAAGGCCCCACTGGATGCATGCTGGATACTGCGGCGGTAGAAGTCCTTGTGGTCACAGGCTTCGTTGTGGTTACAAGAGGAGGGATAAGTGAGCCCGAGGGAGTACCTGTCACAGGCTTTCCAGTGGTCCCAGAGATGCCAGCATTATTGGTTGTCATGTTCACTGAAGAAGGGGACTTTGTGGGTCCTGAGCTGGCTGTAGAGGCTGTGTTAATTGCTCCAGGGGACGAGGCTAACGATGAACCTGAAGGTTTTGGAGTGGTGGTTCCTGTCCCAGCAGCAACAGCAGAGGTGGTGGTGATGGTGGTAGGTATAGGAGGAGGAGTTGTACCTAGAGACCCAAGAGGTGCCCCCAGGTGATGTTGGTTAACTTCTTAGCTACAATTTCACATTACTTTATTTTTGACAATGGCAAAACATTACAGGTGAACCTCTCTTGTCCGGCACACTTGGGACCAGACTGGTTCAGAGCGAGAGTGTTTTCTGGTGTTTTCTGCAGCATTACCAACACTTCCATTGCTTATTGTGCTTTTAGAGGACATTTATTGGTAAAATAGAGCTAAATAACAGCACAGAACACTGAGAACTAGGACTGGTGGCTGTAAACAAACTTTATAGGGCCGTGGGAAACTTGGCCACACCCATAAAAAGTGGTCATCCAGCTAACTAAAATCATTATGGATGACAGATGTTTCTGGATAAGATAGTTCTGGACAAGAGAAGTTCAACCCGTATTAATCTGAATAGAGCAAAAATAAATCAGGTGATTGATGCAAGAAGCCACCTAGTTTCAGTATAAATAACAGAGAAGGGTAAGAGCTCTACTGGCTGGAGACAGAGCTAACATTTCTCCCTCCCTTCAACTCTTTTAAAGTGGAATTGTTTATGAATAGCCAGAATTTTAAATTTACCCAAGTCTAGGACTGGCATAAATCTTAATCAGCAGGAGACTCGTGAAGCTATATTTTAGAAAGGCTTCCAAAACATATCAGCAATGTTTTTTTGAGTGCAGGCAAATCTGCATTCATACAGGTATGCCTTCTGTATGTGTTTCCTTGTTTTTGCACATGCAAATACCTGTCTGCATGTGAAGCTGCAGGTGTTTGTCCACACACATGGTTGTGTCATAAAAATAGCACATGTGCCAGGAAGATCTTTGACCATGTGGCCTGTCATATCTTTGTGTGCATGTCTAAGTACCTATTCACTGGTGCTGTCCAAATATTTTTAAAGAGGTGAGGTAATGCAGGATATCAACTGCAATGTCTTTAATGGTGAAAACTAGAGCCACCAAATTTAGTCTTCAACTTTCTCTCACCCTAACTCAAAGTAAGGTCAGGGTTTGTTGTGCCAGGAAAATGGGAAATACTGGGGATGGGACTGTTTTCCAGAACATAGAAAGGGAGGGGGCAGAGAGGAGGGACATGATACTCACAGTGACCACTAGGAGTAGCGAGTGCAGGAGACAGCTATACTGTACTGCAGAGCGACAACTGTGGACAGTTGCATCAGTAAGACAGTGGCCAGCTGCAGACAGGGCTCTGCATGTTGCTGGTTAACGGAGTGGGTAGGTGGTCCCTCTGTCCTGCTCTGCCCTGACTCCTGCACCCCTCCCTCTCTTGGCCCCCTGCAATGAGCCCCTCCTTACGGAATGTGCTATTATTCAAGACTGGTCTGTCTTTGTGCAAAGTGTAAGGAGCTCTTCTGCAAGCTTCAAATCTGATTGACTTGTAAGTTCTATCCAACAACAATTGCTTAACAAGTATGGAAGGCACAAACTACCGCGCTGCAAAGAGGCTCTGTGACAGTCAGGGGGCCATGTGAAGAGTTCTATGCCTTGCGCTTTGTCTACTCTATTCTGCATGAGTCACAGCTCAGCATTGGTAAGAGCTGACGGTCAAGAAGTTAATGTTCCATCTTGACCTAAGTGGGAGGTTGCTGAGATCAAGACAAAGCACTCACTGTACCCTGGGACCTGTTGGCCTTCTCTCTCCTTTTAAAGATAAAAGCAGCTGCTATCTGCTCCTTTTTAGCAAACTAGGGAAAACTTCTTAGCAAGCTGCCCTTGTGTCTCTGGTCTGCATTAAGATTCAGCACCCTTCTTCATTCTGACAGAGAAAATGAAGCATTAGATGATCCCAGCTCTAATCGCATGAATAAAAACCTTGGAAAAGAAAAGTGAGATGGTAAAGGCTAAATCCTTGGCAATTTGGGTGGAGGGAGATTGAGAGTGCACAACGGTTGCTGTGAGTGTCTTAAGGATACACTTACGCCATGTCTTCACTAAGTGGAAGATCAACATTGGTGCAATCGATCTTCTGGAATGTGATTTTCTGGGTCTAGTTAAGACCTGCTAAATCGAACTCAGAGGGTGTCCCCATCAGTGGCCGTTAGGAATGAGGGAGGCCTATGCAAGTGATTGCTCCCTTTGGCCTTTTGCTGTGGGAATGGGGGGGGGGGGGACTTGAAACAAGATATGTCAACTCCAGCTACATAATTAATGTAGCTGAAGTTACATATCTTGATTCGACCTTCTCCTTTAATATAGACCCAGCCTTAGAGTGCTTCATCCCATTCTAGCTGGAGAGTAGAATACAGCCTCCCATTGATATCAACAGGCTTTGAATTGAGACCATGGTTTCTAGTGCATGATCTGTGTTCTTTAAGTCACCCAGGGTAATGTAAAATATCTCATTTGGGAACTAGACAACAACTGGATGCCCAAGGTACGTACCTCTGGAAGGCGTGACCTCCACAGTAATCATAGTATTTGCCTCCTGCAGGCTCTCCTCATCCATAGCAGTAGCCTATGCAGACATGAGAAAGAGATGATCTTAGTTGCTTGTTTGGTTGTTTATTCACCAAACATTCCCTGAAGCAATAATACCCAAGTCTCAATAACACAGCTCCTCTGCTTGAGGAACTCGGAGCATTGTACATACTCTGTACCAATTTTGTGACAGACTTTGCAACTGTGAAGAGGGGAAGCATTCTCTCTGCCACCTTATAGATGGACACTCTGAAGCATGAAGGGGTAAAGTAACTTGTCCAAATTCAGACAGGACGTCTGGCAGAGCTAGAATCAGAACTCAGACCACTTGTCTTCTACTCCAGTGCTCGCAACCCTAGACCAGTGATTTTCAAAGTACGGTTCACGATCCAGTACTGGGTCATGGAAACACAGGCTCTGGGTTGCCTCGCTGTAGCATGACCCAGTGGTCAGCGGGCAAGCTAAGGCTGGCTTCCTGCCTATCCTGGCACTGTGGGCTACGTTGCACTCTGGAAGCTGTCAGCAGCAGGATTGGCTCCTAGGTGGAGGTGAGTAGGTGACTCTCACAAGATAAAAAAGCAAACCAAACCAAAAAAATGAAGCCGATCCGATTTCAAAAGAAGCCCAAAATGAGCTCCGTCCATTTTTACTTGGCAGTGCCTGGTGACAAACCAGGAACCAGACAATGGGAATGTGGAGCCAGAGCTTGGGGTAGGGGTGGCCTGTGAAGCTGGATCTGCAGCTGGCCACTTCCAGGGTGCAGTGTGGTCCACTGTGCCAGCACAGGCAGGGAGCCTGCCTTACCATCCCACTGCATCACTGACCAGGAGCTACCAGAGGTAAGCCTTTGCCCCCACAATCCCCTGTCCCAGCCATGAGCCCCTCCAAACCCTTCCTGCACCCTAAACACCTCATCCTTGGCCCCGTCCCATAGCCTGCACGCCCAGACAAAGCCTGCACCCCCTGTATTTCACCCCCATGCCGCAGTCCAGAATCTCCACCTACATACTGAACCCCCCAAGTCTGCACCCTAACCCCTCATCTCTGGCCCAACCCCAGAGCTCACACCCTCAGGCAAAGCCTTTGCCTCCCCCGCACTGTCAACCCCTCCTGCCTGCGACCCTACCCTGGAGCCTGCACTCTAGTCAAAAGATATAATTATGCTGGGTCATGGGTATTGACAATTTTTTTCAACTGGGTCATAAGAAAAAAAAGTTTGAAAACAAGTGCCCTAGAGCGTACTTCCTCCAGAAATGCAGCAGGGAACAATCCGGCACTGGAGGGAGGATGCACAATGTGACAAAAAAGGCCTATTCTTTAAGAAGACTCAAAGGTGTAAGTCACCTTTCTTGCTTCATGAGTAGGGGGAATAAAAGGCTTTATTGGTGGCCCTGTTCACAACAGCAGCTGCATATCGCTAACAGTCTTTATCTCTCATCAGTCCCTTTGGACATAGCTCCCAGTTAAATCACTGGTGACCTGCCTTCCTTAGACACACAAGAGACATAATTTTAAGAAACATTGCCCCTCTCTGTGAACCCTTCTGTGTGCACCATTGTTTGGATGTGCAAATGGAAACTCCATGGACAATTGACTTTGAGGCACACTAGTATGGGGCAAATCTAGTTTGTGCAATTTGGTCACTTGCATTTTAAATAGTGTCTATGCTGTGCATTTAAAAAGAAAGTGGTCCAAGACTAGGAAGGTCGCCCGCCCTTCTCATCTCTCAGTAGATTCATGGTGACAGCCAAGTTAAAAAGCAATTTACTATTATTGTTGTGGAAGTGTTTTGGGGGATACAGCTCAGAGGAAAAATGCTACACAAATGAGAGCTCTTAGCGTTGTTACTGTTCCAAATAACTTAAAATATTAAGTGCCAGATCCTCAGCTGTTGGAACGTGACACAGCCAAGGAGGAGTGCCTTAGTATTTCACCTTCCCAACAAGACCTGGCCCATACCCTCACAGGGCAGTTCTAATGGTGTTAATTGCACAGTCTGCCTTTTAGCAGGACCCTAAATTCTCTCAAGAAGACAGAGTTTGTGTTCTTGTCATTAAATTCTATGCATGTGGAACATCAGGTTTGCAATGATTAGTAGGCAGGGGAGCTGATTTGAAATCTTTCTCTTGATTTTTTTTTTCTTACTGAAATTTGGATTTTTGACTAAACAAAACATTTTTGTGAAAAATGTCTGATTTCTTTTAAACTTGTTTTATCTGCTTTGGAAAATGGAAAATTTTCTACTTTTTAGTTGTGGTTATCTTGTGAAAAGCTGACGTTTTCTGCTGAAAAACTCTGGAAAACTGCTGTATAGTTGTGGTTATTTTGTGAAAAGCTGAAGTTTTCTGCTGAAAAACTCTGGAAAACTATTTTGTGTGTGTGTCTTCACTGAAAATTTCCACAGGCAAGAGGGAAACCCCATTTCTTGACTGGCTCTAGTAGATACTTCTCAGGCAAGTTAGCTCTATGATCACTGTTACCTTAACCTCCCAGCTCCCCCAGGTGTTGTCTCATAATATGTTTCTCTTATAGGGTCTCTGGGGTGAGGGTTGTAATTTTTTAAGCTGGGTCTAGCCCATATCATGAACCCCAGGTACTCCAGGAGCTCCTATAATACAAGTTACTATCCTCTGCCTAGCAGGAAAGCTGACATACCAACATTGTGATAGTTGTAGCTGACGGCAGCATTGTGTTCGTCAGGACAAGTCCGTCTCTGGTTACGGTGAAATCGCTGCTGTTTTTAATGTTGTATACGATTTGAGGATTGACTTTCTGGAAAAGTTAAAGTGAGTTAAATGTCTGCATTGGCTGTATTCACGGAAATTGTTGCCCATAACAGCGAGGGAAATCCTTCCTCCTAGAAAATGGTTCCCTCGGGAAAGAATTCATTCCTGTGCAGAGAGCCAGCACAACTGAAGCAGCTTTGGAAGGTTTAAGGGAGACAAAAATGTTGCATAAACCCCATGCTGGGCTTCTGGACTGTGGTGATTGTTGCTGTATCTCTATACAATGTCATTGCACTAATAGGTCCTGTTGCTAGCACAGGCTGGCCAGCCTTTTAAAGCAAGCCAGGCTGAGCTGCCCTTCAGCCACTCTGGTGAGGCAGTGAATGAGTGAGCTCAGCTGGTGGTGATGGAGCTTAATTACAGTGTCAGACCCCAGCTGTGGAGCCTCCGAACCAGAACCATTTAAATGGAGCTGTGAATTCACTCTGGAGAGGAGGAATTGGAGAGAGGAACAAGGGCAGGCCCCTCTCCAGGAAGGACCTGAGGGAGTCAGGCTGGAAAACTGACAGGGAGAAGGGTAGGTTTCTATGGGGGAGCCTAAGATAGGACCTGGAAAGAGCCAGCAGATCCCCGAGGGAAGGCAATGGGAGTATAGGAAGCCTGTTAGGGTTGCCAGATGTTTCAACAAAAATACCGGACGCACTTGACATTACATCACAATCTACATTCCATCTTATTTAGAAAATATCGGACATTTCTATTTTCCTAATTTCTATTTTCTCACTTTGTTTCCTGAACAGAAAGCTCAAATACTGGACTGTCTGGTTCAAAACCGGACACCTGGCAACCCTAGAGCTTGCTGGAAGGAGGCAGTAGAGAAGAAACGGGAGCTGGGGGAGGGGTGAGGAAGGGGCCAAGAAGCAGTGACAGGCAGTGGAGCCCAAGTAGCCCATTTATTTGGACTTACAGGGTAAGGAGAAGGGGAGAACTTAGGACACCTGGCTGGAGACTCCTATCTAGCATTGTTCATGCCACTGCAGACAGATAAATACCTGTCCTCTCTTGCTCCTAGCAGTTATGGCTCCTCCAGCTGAGCCTCCCTGCAGTGTCTGAGTGAATGAGGGGTCTTACAGTGAAGCTGGAAGGCTGACAGATCCTGATTTCTGGGCTTCTCTGTCTCCGTGGATGCCACCAGCAGCTTCCTATAGGCTTGACCCGGTTGCCAGTCAAGTCATGTTCTTTGGCTTCTAATAGGAAGAGTTTTATCCACCCAGGTCTCAGTGAATGTGGAGGTTCTGAATCATGGTGTGTGGAATGTGGGAAGCATCAGCTGTGCACGGAAAAGGCTAAACTCGTCGACTTGCCCACCTGGTGCTGTGTGAGAGGGGCAGGATGACGACCGGGCTCGTAGAGGGTGGAAGCAAAGCAGAGGCTCTGACCTGGAATGGTCAGGGGTGCTTGCTAACAAATGCTCCAGAGATGTCTGTGTGTCTCTCTCCCATCCTCCACCCCCAATCCAGCCCCACGCGTGAAGCCCCAGGCCCTTCCAGTTCCTTACATTAGGGAAGTCGTCATCAGCCGCAAAGATCTTCAGAGGTTTGGAAGGTGCTCCAGGCTCCATGACCAGACTGTGTGTGGCCAGCCCAGCAGATACCGTCCCTGTGTAGCTGGGGCTTACAAAGAGCGGTGCGAAGCTACTTTTAATGATGACCTTGATCTCAACTGTGGTTAAGGAGTATTTCTGTACGTTGTTGGCTTGGGTGGCCTACGGCGAAAGAGACCATACAGAAGCACCACTATTGCTGTTATGAGACATAAGAAGACGTGGGGCCAGACCCACAGAAGTCAAAGGGATTCTATCTATTGAGCAAATGGGCTTTGGATCAGGTCCATAAAGGGAGGCTGAGAAAGGACGCAATTGACTTTTAGAGCAGGAGACTGATGCTTAGAGCTGCTCTGTTCTAGTCCTGGATCTACTACTGGCTTTCTCTGTGATCTTGAACAAATCTCTCAACCTTCTAAAAATTTCCCACCTCACATATTTGGGGCTTGAGGCTTAATTCACTTACTTAAACTGAATTAAGTTAATCATCAGAGGGGTAGCCGTGTTAGTTTGGATCTGCAAAAGCGACAAGGAGTCCTGTAGCACTTTATAGACTAACAGATGTATTGGAGCATAAGCTTTTGTGGGCAAAGACCCACTTCCTCAGATGCATGTAGTGGAAATTTCCACTACATGCATCTGAGGAAGTGGGTCTTTGCCCACAAAAGCTTATGCTCCAATACATCTGTTAGTCTATAAAGTGCTACAGGACTCTTTGTCGTTAATTCAGTTTGTAAAACACTTTCAGTTCTTCAATGCCCAGGGCAATGGAAATGCAAAATGTTACATGGGTAGGATGACTCAAAGCAGCAGACACAACTGTGCCAAATCAAGGCACTTCCACCAGCATCCTGATCATCTAACGCGCTGCCCATATTTCCTCCCAAAAATGGTTTAGAACTCTTAACTTTCTTTTGATTATGTTCTAAATGGAAAACAAGTTTCTAATATGGGCTGATTAAATAATTGCTTTTGTACAAACATGGACTGTGCTGAAGTCCAGCATTAGTCCTTTCTGTTAAATGATGAATAGAGGGCTGTGCCCCCTGTTTGCTATGCTTGCCAACCCCCTGTCTTTGAGGGTAGGCAGCTCTGGCTCTTCCCCCACCCCCGGCCGACAGGAATGGCTAGGGCTACACTAGCCCCGGTCTCTCCCTGACTCCCCCAGCTGCAGGTCTGGTCTCTCGGTACCAACCCCCCAGCCACCAGGAGGGGGCTGGGGCCATGCCAGCCATGGTCTCTCGGCCACCCCAGAGAGCTGGGGCTGGGGCCACGGCAGCCCCAGCTCCCTCCCATCCCCGAGCACCAGGGAAGGGAGAGGAAGGGAGGAGGCCATGCAGCTTAGAGAAGAGGGAGGGCGGGAGGAAAATTTTCCCTGCGGGACGTGATGTGATGACGTCACTCTGTCGTCCCGCAAGAACATTTTTTTTTATATGTAGAGAGAGATCATTTGAACCCAAATGGATGGCTCTTCAGTTACAATTGTTTCCAACATTGATTGGATGGCACAATCCAGGAATCTTTACACAGGTCAAAATTCCCCCTGCAAGTCCTGGCAAGAATTTTATTTGTAGGAATGAGGCAGGATAACACCTGTTTCCAGCCACCTGTCGAACACTGGGCACTTAGCAAATGTAAAGTCATTGTCGCCCTGGGAGGCCAGAAGTTCTGGAGCTGAGATCTGGGGTTCTGGGATGTCAGCAGACTTACCATGATCTGTAAAATGAATGTATCTGAAGTATTTGCTGCTTTGTTCATAGTTATATTCCCTGTATCGCTATTCAGTAAGAATATATCATCCTTGTTTCCTAAAAAATAATGGGAAGGTTAATTAGGTCTAGTATTGACCAAGAGAAAGACATTTGCTAAAGCATCTAGAGCTTTAATAGATTTTGCTGTAGCTCCCGTGTTTTGCACCTCAGCTGTTACATGACATGACATCTCTTTATTGCCTGTGCCAGGCTTTATGACTGGGTGTGCACAACATGGACTCGGTGCTACCTCAAAGTGTGGATTCAGTGTTAGGAGAGCAACAGGAAGACACACGCAAGCCTGACTGAAAGAGGTAGGAGAGCAATGGTTCTTATTTATTTCTGTCACAGGAGCACTTAGTAGCCTCACCTGATACGATGAGTCCCTTTGTTAGTGCATAAAAAACAAAGTAATAGCTAGTCCCTAGCTCAAAGAGTTTACAATCTAAAAGGATAAAGTAGGTGTGCTCCATGGAAGATTGTTGTGATCAATCTTCTGGAGTTTGATTTAGTGAGTCTAGTTAAGACAAGCTAAATCAAATTCAGAGGGTGCCTCTGCTGGCATCCGGTACTCTTGCTCCTGCAAGGAGTAAGGGAAACCACAGAGCTCAACTTAAAGTAAGCCAACTTCAGCTATGTTATTCTATGTAGCTGAAGTGGTGTACCATAAGCTGAGCTGCCGGATCTAGTGTAAACCTTTACTTATGAGAAGGGGAGAACTGAAGCACAGAGACTAAATGACATGGCTAGGATCACCCAACAAGTTTGTGGGCTGAGCCAGGAGTTGACCCTTGATTTCCTGGGTCCCTGTCCCATGTCTTAATGATGCCTTGAGAAGCAATAGAGAGATTTTTATGACACCAGTGGGACACATTGCTCACTGCCAGTGTGATGTTCCCTACTTCGTTCTGTATGGCCTTATGGGTATACAGCAGCATTCCCTGTAGGGTGAGCATCTGAGTGGCCATGCAGGATGCTGTGGAGGACTGTGCATCTAATTACCGCTGTGCATCTAATTACTGGAGCCGCACAGCACGGCTCCACTCATCAGGTACCTCCTCTCGAGAATGTGGGGAAGATGAGCTGGGGGGCTTGATGGGGAGAATAAGAGGTGGGTGGGAGATGGGGGTCAGTGAAGAGAAAGGAGGGATAGGAGGGGTTGGGTGGGGGTCCCTGGGGTGAGGGGGAGAGGCAAGTTAGAGCCCAACTCTCCCCCAGGCAGCCCCATCTGGGCTACAAAGTGCAGGGGACAGCAGGGAGAGATAGAAGAAACAAGTCGGACACAATGCCAGACCCAGAGCTTCTACTGCCAGGGGACAGACCCCTCATCCTTGGCCCCAGCCCAGCCCTGCCCAGCACTGAAGCTGCAGCAGCCATGGAGAGGGACATCTCACCTTGCCCCGAGCTGCTGCAGTGAGAGAGGTGGGGTAGTCCTCACTCCCTGGGACAGCCTGCGCCCCGAACCTCTCGTCCCTGGCTCCACCCCAGAGCTTGCACCCCCAGCCAGAGCCTTCATCCTGCACTGCAACCCTCTGCTCTATCCCTGATTGAGCCCCCCTCCTCTACCTCCACCTCCGCCACACACTGTCCATGTGTGGAATTACTTTTGTTATGTGATACATCACCTTGTGGGGTGCCCATGCTAGCCCCTCTGCTTTCTTTTAGTGTCACCCTGTGCCCCCTCTCGGGTGGTGCGGGCTTTGCTCCCAGACCTGCATTTACATCAGTTCCCTGCACATAATGAAAGTCATCCCACATGTGGACATAATAAAACCAGAGGGAACACTGGTATGCAGATATGCCCTGCCTTACAGGATAAATGAAGATGGGAGAACAAACAATTGGTATGATTTGGGTGAATTGTGTTTGTCAATCAACTGACCTCGTTTTCTTTTTAAACAAAGCAACCATGACTGAAATAATGTGCTGTCTGCTCACTGAGAAATACTCAGGCCTTATCTTTTGAAATCCAGACTGGCACATAGAATCCCTGTCAGAGCTTTTGCAACGTACAGTGGTGTGAATACAAAATCCTTGACTAAAATGAGGAGGGTTTCAGGATTTTGTGGTTCAGGCAGGTTGAAAACTGGCTGGAATCAGTGTGGCTGGGATTGAAAAAGTCAGCCTCGGTCATTTGGATAAAGATCAGAGAGGAAAAAGCCCCCACCCTAACAAACACTGTGTCCTGAGCATTGGTTGTAGTGTTGTGCGGTTCCTTTTCTCTCCCTCACTACAGTTTAAAGAGATGAGAAACATCGGTGTTTCCCACCGTGTGTCTGTACAGCACCTAACATAATGGAGACCCTGATTCTAGCCTGTTGGGTCTCCGTACTACAGGAACACAGGCAATTAATTAATTGCAGATAATTATTTTTCTGGTTGTACTGTATTGCCATGGCAATAGTTTAACTCTGAGGTTTCTTCCCTCTGGGGCACAGAACAATATTATCAATGGAAACGAATTTTTGGGTAGAGAGAACTTTACTCACCACCAACAATGCTGTACACTATTTTTTCATTCAAAGTGTAGTCAGGATCAATGGCGTAGAGGGGCCCGGGTTTCAGGGTCAGTGGGTCAGTCTGCAACAACAAGGCAAGAGTCTGAAAAACAAAGCACTAGATGCCTTCAGAACTTTTCAATCCAGGCCACATTTAGCTTACGTGCACTCTGGTTGTGGAAGGCACAGCACATATCGCCAGCAGGTGACTATTGCAGAACAGAGATAATAGAGCATAGGGCGTGGGTTTGCAGAGCTCCTTCTTTGCTCTTGGAATGCATCAAAAGCAGTGAGGTTGGGAGGTGCTAGTCTCTGTGGTTGGTTGACTTGCTCCTGCACTGACTTGTCCTACTTTGATTAGACTCAAAAGCCTGCTGTGCTCATGCCTGAGCAATACAGCTGATACTGGCATGCCCCTTAGGGCCGTGGTTCTTATATTGTTTTGGCCTGCAGCCTGCCCTGTCCAACACAGACCGTTTCGTGGGCCACCAGCCAACCACCCATGATGACAAAATGGAACAGGCTGGGGGTGCGGGTTTGGCTGGGAGGGAGGGTGCGGTGCAGGAGTGGGCTGAAGGTGGGGGGCCTGGGAGGGAGAGGGATGGGGTGAAGGGTCTGGGCATGAAGGGCATGGGGAAGCTTACCTGGCTCCATGTCCCTCACTGCTCCCAAGCATCACCCCTTGCTGCTCCCATTGGCTGTGATTCAGGACAATGGGAGCAGCGGGGAAAGCCTCCAGATGAGCCTCCAGCCAGGGAGAGGGGGAGTTGGCAGCACACGGAGCAGCTTCCTCTCCCCACAAGCCGGATCTGGCCCATGAGGCTCGCCCCCTCACCCCGCAGCAGGAAGCCAGCACTGGTGCTCCAACCTTGCAGGGGGAAGGGGCATGGGGGTGGTGTCTCAGCACAGGCTCCCCACTACAGGGAGAGGGTGAACCACAAACCCCTGGCCCAGCAGCAAGACAGCTGTGGTCTGCTGACCATACTTGAAGAACCACTGCCTTAGAGGGGATAGGGTATAACCAGTCTTGTCCCGGCATTTCCAACATGCATTATTCTTCTGAACATAGTCGCCAGTGATCACTGAGGGAAATAAACCATGTCTGATTGTAACCCTCATCTGAGGGGTTTCTGTGTGGGATGGGAAGATTCAGAGCTGTTTCGTGGAAGAGAGCTGAACCATCCCCACGAAAGGTCCAATCTTATCGCCTGTACTTGGGCAAGATAGAGACCAACATGAGCAAGCATCTGATTCTGAACAGCCTTTCTGAACACCTCATGAACGGAGCTTGTCAATGCTAGAGGGGGTTCAGAGTCGACATGGTCCCAGCCTTATTATTATAGTCCCTCGCTCTTGAGGGGGCTGCCAGAGCTCGCATTACAAAACCTGCATTGCCCAAAGGGCTTTCTGAGCTATTGTTTTTGAGCTACCACGCTGTGAACATACGCAGCAAGCACATCTGGTGGAAGATAGTGGTAGCAGAGCTTTGGGCTGCATCACATGGGTGCAGCAGAAGGCATTTCTCCTAAACTGACAAACAACTTTCAGAGAAAGGGCACTGTCTTGACGGCTGGATGGGGGCTTTAGGCACACCCTGACATTGGGGCTGTCCCGATGGCCTGCACCCCAGTAGAGGACAGAACAAGCAATGGAAGGCGTGATGATGGCAGAATGCCCACCAAATATGGCAATTCTCCTCCCCAAGGAACGGGCTTGGTTGCTCATTGATAGGGGGGTGCAGGACCAGTTGGCTTCCTCCCTGGCGGCTGTGCTGGAGGCTGTCTGCAGACTCAGGGAGAAGTCATTGCCTTGACTTATGCCTGGCTCATGTGTCAAGTGTTTCTACACCGTGACGGGAGACAGGAATATAATCATTTAAAGCTGAGGTTCCAACATCGTAGGAATCCTGGAGCCAGGCTCTGGGCTTCTGCTGCGATTGGGCCTGAACCACTCCTGTGCTGCTAAGGACATGACCTGGGAGGTGGTTGGAAAGCATTAGCTCCCATGTGGGCTGCCTACCGTTTTCTCGGAGATGTTGACCCTCCCAATGTAGCCACTGCTGATGCAAACTTTCTTGTCCACATTAATGAAAGTGCATGGCTGGAACCAGGGAGGTCGGGTGTCGACTTGCTGGATGTCTATGTTTATGGTTGCATTGGCTACATGGCTATCTGGGTTGCCGGGTGCACTGTCCTATACAGAAAATAAGAACATTCTTGTTAGATCCAAGGCATATTTCGAACCTCAGAACCCCTTTCCCTGCAGCCCCTGCAAAATACAATGGGCTGGATGCTTAGCTGCTGTCAATCAATGCAGCGTCATTGATTTCCTTGGCCCTTTGCCAACTTACACTAGCTGAGGATCTAGCCCTACAACTAAAGTTAATATGCCAATCACAGCTGTATTGGTGGATGGGATACACACCAGGAGGTAGCAGCTGTGAATGAGATGCTTTGCTCACTTATAAAACTCACCTTTGCATACAAGAGTAACTGCATAAATTTATATTGATCATAGTCCAGGCTTTTGCGCAGGTAAATAGTTGGGTTATTAACTCCTTGTATGTTGAAGTAATCGGTTGCTTCCTGAAAAGCAAGAGGGGGGAGAGTGTGATTGCTGTCACAGACACTGAAAATACCATTAGCTGCTTGCTATGTACCTCATTCATGGCTGGGTATTTTTAGGACAGATGCAGGCATTGTTCAGCTGTTGATCCTTGGAACTCTTTGGTCTCTAGCTAGTAACATAACTCTTCTCTGGCATCTCAGTAAGGATCATTAGAGGAATTTTTGGAGATTCTTCTCTCAACAGGATCATAGGACTGAATTCAGATTGAAATCAGTGTAACAGAGAGCAAAAGTTGGCTCATTGCTTTCTACTAGATTTGGCTCGGCTTTCCTGTCACCTATACTGGCACCTTTCATAGCATTCTTCCTGATTTCCATCATTCTGGGCTCAGAATCTAGCCTGATGAGTACAACTCTGAAGTCATTTACACTTGTTCAACTCCATTAAGATCCATGAGGTTGCACAAGTGTAACTGATACAGAATTTAGGAATCCATCTGCTCTTGCCTCGATGCTTTGTTTGTTTGTTTGTTTATTTGAAAAGGTTTTTCGATCTTTTTTTTTTTTTAACTACAATGCCAGTCTGTGTACTCCAGATTGGCACCAATTTAACTGAACATAAACTTTCCATTGGTCCTTTAACAAAATCATTGAAGATGAAGGCTGATCTTGCAGCTAAAGCTCTGGACTGGGATGCGGATCTGGCTTCAGCTTCTGGCTTTGCGGTAGCCTTTCTGCATGACCTTAGTCAAATCCCTTAATGTCTCAGGCTACATCTAGACTGCAAGCCTCTTTCGAAAGAGATTTTCTAGACTGCAACCACTTCTTTCGAAAAAGCGAGCCGCTTTTTTGAAAGAGAGCACCCAGGCAGTCTGGATGCTCTCTTTCAAAAAGCCCTGTTTGCATTCAAGAATGCCTTTTTTTGAAAGAGCACTTTCAAAAAAAGGCGTTCTTCCTCATAAAATGAGGTTTACCATAGTAAAAAAAAAAAGTTGTGTTCTTTTGATTTAATTTCAAAAAAACCCAGTGGCAGCAGAGATGCAGGGAAATTTTTTTTGAAAAAAGGCCACTTTTTTCAAAAAACACCCTGTAGTCCAGACACACCGTTAGTGTCTCAGTCCCTTATCTATTAAACTGGGATGATCATTCTACTTTCCCCACTCTGCTGACCTACTGAGATTCTAAACTCTTCAGGGCAGAATCTCTCTCACTGTGTTTGTAGCATAGCGTAGCACATTTTCTCCTCAACGTGGTGTAGGCCTTAAAATGCTACCCTCGTGTTAATGTTGAATAGGTGCTCTGGTAATATTTTTTTTTTCAAAAAGTGTGTGAATTTTTGAAGAATTCAGTATTTAAGGCATGGATTTCTCTGTTCCACTAGCCCCCTCCTGGTTCTGTCCATGCTTTATCTTTCTGCCAGTGTAAATCACTAACAAAGAGCTCGACATTTTTTGCAACAAACATACTCACCGCCGGGGTGATCGCCACAAGTTCATAATATATGACATCAAGGTCAGCATCACTAGCAGTCACACGATTCATGGCTATAATGGTCGTATTCACTTTTGCATCCTGAAAACAAAGTTGTATGGGTTTTTCCACCCCATTTTGGCAAATGGTCACATGCTCATAACACTCTCACTGATAAATCCTCCCTAATCCCCTTGTGCTATATCAGTCACTGCTCTGGAGTTAGAAAAACTCCTCCCACTGCCATCTCTGACCATGTTTAATTGACACTCTGGTAAAGATACCGGATGCCTGCAGAGCATTGTCTACACAAGAGCCCTCAGTAGCACTGGGGTTGCTGAATTGAGACTGTGACAGCGAAAGTGTGTGTTCTAAAATTCCCTGGTGTACTTGTGTGACACAGTGGGGGCTGTATTCACTGTTTTTCTTTGCTATGTTGTATGTGATTCCTC